ATTTAATTCCACTATTTTTAGTACTACAAATATCCCAACTACTTTGCTGTTTAATATGCTAGCTTACCCTCACTATGGCGCGGGAACATGAGCCTATCTAAATGTTGTATCAAATCGATTAACTGAATGAACAACCATTAGATATTATCGATATTTAGCGTTGCGACCAAATCTATTGATAGTTATGAGTCAAGCCTAGTATTCTTACAAGCCAAACGATTTTCACTAACTTCTACTTGTACCGAGTTAGCCTATTATTAATTCATAGTTATCCTTGTGATATTAATTTGATTATTTCCAAGTATTAACAGTCTTGTACTTTAATTAAGTATTACTTTCAACATTCTCAGGGTTTCATATATCTCCACAAAAGTTCACGTTTATATAATACGGTCCTATTGTTCGGCTATTGATAATCTAGTGGAAACGACCAATGACTACAATCAGTGTGACCCGTTACGTCTCTTCCTTGGTGGAAATAACGAAACGTTCCATGGCTAAGCGCTTGCCGTCTTTGACTAATGCCTAAGATCTGGCTTTAGCGGAATAATCTTAATCTAGCGAGTTTGGTGTAGCAAAAATATTCTGCAGTAGATCCAAACCTTTAGTGATGTCAGTAAATGTCGCTCTAAGACCTCGCAGGTAGAAATATATTTTTTTCGGGTTCTGATCAATTACATTGAGACATTATTATCTCCTGAAATAAAAGTAAATGAGCAACTAAGTACATTTTTAAGACCATATCCTTTAAGGCTAGGGATTTGCAGATTGTATTCACTGGAATTCCAAACTGGACGGGACCGTTTTTCATGTTTTCCAGAAAAGAATTCAGAACAATCAGCTTAGTTATATTAACTACAGATAATACGGCAACATGTCAATAGATCGGCTGTTAATACATGACTGAGTTGAATGCGAAAGACAGCCTTTTATTGATGAAGTACTATTCTTCTTGGGGATAACTTTAAGAAAGGTTATACATAGGTATAAGAAGGCATTCAAGATAAGAAGACAAACTTTCTAATGTTAAGGAAAGTAATAGTAAACAACAGCAGATATATAGATGTCGCATAAGGAATAACATTAAAACATCTATTTGTACTTTGACACATGTCTTAAGTGAAATTACGTTTGTTGTATTTACAAAGACTAAAGATCACTTAAGACGTCTCTGTAAAACAAAAACAATTAGGAACTGACTGTGGAACACTTCGTTTTTAAGACTATAAAGAACGATAGGACTCATTTCGACTTAAAGTGTCAGCTTTTTAATTGATTTCGTAGAAGATAAGTGGAGTAAAATACTAATGCTTAAAACACTGTTGATTCTATAGGTTCCGAGTACGTACCTCCCAAACATTTAATCGGTTCGCAGTACCGCTACGAATAATGCACACAATATGGCTCAGATCAAGGTCCATGAAGCCATACTTGTCAAGCGCATTGAATCTAACGTCATCACTAAACCTTGCCTCTGTTTTTTGGATACAACTGTAGTCGGGACGGTGACTCACTAGTTTTCCAGTTCTCTAAATAGGGAAGAAAAAGAGCATATCTGTGCCACGGATGCAGAAATGCTGAAATTAGGAAAGTTCTACAGAGCTGTTGACCTAGTCGTTCAGATTTTGTCCATATATGGACATAATTATAATTATGGAGTTGTATTGCAAGTGGGAGACTATTTTTATTCAGTATCTAATGGTGGTAAAACAAAGCTCAGTGAGCTACTAATCTACAATATCACATTGAATATAAGCTTACAAAAGGAAGATCAAAGATTATCGAAAGCCATAGTTACCCAATCCTCTGGTATCGAGATAACGGTAGCACTACTTTTCATATTGAGCGGTAGGTTTATTTCAAACCTCAAACTTCTCAATTGAAAAGAAAGATGCACTTATAATACCTGGGTAACAACTTTATAATCTGAGAATAGCAACCCATTCAAACGAAATGTAAGAAGCGAAGAATTTCGAAGTTATATTTAATAGGCTTTCGATATATGGAGAAGTAATAACTCTAAGCTGGCTATGTAAAAAAGGTTAGTTTTTCGAACAAACTTTCTTAGCAACAAATCTCTAACTTCCGTGTCTTTTCTGGATTAGGCAAGGACTAACAAGAATGATACATCAATCGAGCCTGTTGTAGAACACCAACGTAGATGATCTATGTCGAAAATGATTGGAGGCCTACTTGACTTACACATGAATAGTGTGACAAACTGGCTAACGTCGAAGTCACACCTCGTGGTCAGCACCCTACTTGGACTGCCCCATTGACGTATCAAGGTACCATAGATGCTCTGAAGACTGTACAACACAGAGGACGTTATTACAGAAATATATTAGTTAAAGTAGATACAAGCGATAGTGAGACCACTGCCGCATGTGTCAGTCCATGGCATACGATTAACTGATGGCGTTGGTTGTCCCTGACCTTGATGAGGATCGATGAGTTGCTCGATATTCAATGACCCAACTGTCGGATGATTTGGCCACGGCTTAGTGACATTTCACTGACCCTACACTGTCCTTCAGTTCCTATCAAAATTCCTCATATTCCATACAAAGTATTTAGGTCTTTTAAAAACTATTTGCCGAAAATTCAAATAAAAGGCATTCGACATAATCAGATCACCAGAAAATGTGATCGACAGGGTTGAATTGGTGCATTGTACAGTCATATGCCCAGTCTGATATCACGTTCTAACATGAGCATACAACTATTTAGAGCTAATAAGTCCTAATTAAACATCATAGGTTTCTAAACTAACGCAAATATCGAGACTAATTTTGAGAAATTTAAAATATTTTCATGTTATTTTCTGTCTCTGATAAGAAAATCTACAGCCTACAAATATAATGAATGAAAACACTGTTGAGTAGTTTGTAGTGTGGCGTCGAGTCGCGTTTGACTGTGATCACCACTAAAAGACGAGCCCGTACCAGAAAATCAGAAGGCGAAAGGAGATTGTAACCAGGTTTATTCGTTGGCGATCTCGTGGTATCAAAAGTACACCAAGATCGTGCCAAAGGAAATACAAGTGGAATCAATGGGCGAACGTGCGAGCTTGTACGCTCGTCAGAGTCAACGGAAGAATAATGGAGGAGTAATGGATGTCTTTAGTACAGTTAAACAAACAAGCACAGTAAAACAATCACTGTTACAATTGGTTATAATAGTGATTTTTTCCAATAAACCAATCGCGTTCTCTTGGTCATTACATGTTTGTAACGGTAATATATACACGAGATCAATAGTTCTGTACGTGTTCGGCATTTAATGCTGGCCTTATTAATTTTAATAGGTAGTCGTTAGTCAGCTTAGACGTAACGCTTCCCGATATATCAATAGACTTTCAAATATATCTCCGAGCTCCTTTTCCGTCTTCTTATTTGACTGATTACAAAACGTATTACTGGTTAAGGCGTTGTCAAACCATGAATACTTGTTATAATTTTAAGCTAAATGTGATGCCTTGCAGTCTCTAAGGGACGAAATCTTGTAAAGTATTATATTCCTTTCACCACAGAATCCTGAAAATTATAATCTATGGTGTACCAGAGAAAGATGACTTGAAACTACAGTGGAGTAAATTAGTCACAGTAGAAAATATGAATGCAAGTATCACTGTCGTTTTATGCCAGCATTCATAATCTAGAGGTGATAAGAGGAAAAGTCTTCTCAGTAATAGCTGTCTTTAGATTCACGAAAAGAAATTGTTTACAAACTCTACCGAGATGCTTGAAAAAATCCAGGACACTTATATGGAACTGATGTTTTTGTTCTACAAAGAGGATCCGGCTATTCGAGGTAGTATTACTGGTCGAGCCACAAAATATTTGGACAGAAATCTCTGTATGGTTTCAAAGTACAAAGCGAAAAGTTTCCAACTGATTCATTCAGAATTCATTCCACTGTAGGAAGCACTCAGATCCCAATCTAGAATTTTTCGCAGTATGATCAAATTGTCCTCCTAGAGCAGCATTAAGTTTCGAAGTTGAGAAAGATTTTTTGTTCTGCAAAATCATGTTACGCTCTGATTGTAGCAATTCAAGCTATAAAATCTACGCATGAAGAATAAAGCAAGAAGTGCAACAAAATGAGACAGAGTTTACAGAGTATTGGCTACTATATACGATGCCGCTTGCATTGATGAAAATCCTGACCTCCATGAGTACAACCTCAGACTCGTTTGCGTCAATGTTTTAGCTAATCATGAAGATAGTAGTTTTGAAAACCCTTCCTATGATTAAATTTCACTGACTCTTGCATTTGGCATTATTTCAGTTTACAATAGGGAAACTCATTTCGGTCCCTCCAACTAATGCCTCTTTTCGGCGACGTCAACGGCATTCCGCCAGTCAAGAATACAATGCAGCGGACCAATCTGCTTCACTCCGTCTGCAAAACGACCTACAAAATATCTACGGTTCAAGACTACGACCACAAAAGACGTCAAGACGAGACCTAGAAACTAACAGTGAATCCTGCTTTACAGTATCAAGCAAATATACTGAACTTCGAAACGATTGAATATGTGAGACTACCTTCTACTACGATGTGCAATATCTGCTGTGACAGATCGGACGAGAGGATTGGTAGACGAAAACATGGGACTAGACGACGATACCACTGGTTGTCTACTCGAGGCTTGTTGAACATTGGTTAGGGTCGCAGAGTTGACTTCTGGGATTTGTTGGGTCCCGCAACCTCCTCCACGCCAAGGTTTAGTGCCGCAGGTGTCTCCAGCTTTCATCCTCCCCCGAACTGGTAAGCTTAGATATTACCTGGCACCTTTAATTACCGTAAAATCTCTTCTCTCGAGCCGTGTGCTTTAATGTCTAGTGACCGTTAACGCCATTTGTGCTATCACAATTTTGACTTCTGCTACTTATTCTACCGCAGTGATGTGATATGATAACTTAGGTTGATACACATTTCCGACCAACTCGCTGTTGAACATTACTTACTCCAAGTGTTGAATATTAAAAAGTGAATTCGAAATATGACTACCATTTCTATTTGACAGCGTATTTTTAAGTACTTGTTAGAGAACTGAGTGATTTTTCCCACTGGGGACAATAAAGCATCGAGGAATGAAAGTAATGTCGTAAACTAAATGGCAATTCCTTCATCCTATTTGGGAAAGGAAGTATATGAAGAATAAAAACAATTAGAAAAGAGCACTTTTTGGCGGTTATCAGAATGGCAAAATCAAAGCCTCTGTCTGCAATCTTTGCAGTCATTTAAACGTGCTAGCAAACATATCAAGTATTATAATATAATTGTCTAATGACACTGAGTTATGCACCATGAATTGAAAATGTGAATAACTCAAATTAGAAAGAACGAAGTGAAATTAGACAAAAAAATATGTTGATCATCAAAGAATGGACCAAATGAGATGAAAATATTAAACATAGTATATATTTACAGCGTTCCATCATAAAAATAATAAGTACATATTATTTGTAGCTTGTCAAGAAATTTCTCCGCTACGATAGTTCAAATCCAGCATGACTATTTATGGCATATCTTAACTTTTCTTTCAGTGCACTACGAGACGAGTAATTAGGTAATTTTAAAAGATTAAAACAAGTAGACGCAGTTGGTAGGCGAGATACTTCTTCACGGCGACCAACAACCCCCAGAAATCCTTTCAGTACTGATCCTAGAGTATCACCGAGATCCTGTAGAAATCAAAAGTAAAAATATGAGAAAATATTTACCAAAACAGAGATTATTCTCATTTCAAAACTATAAACAAGAAATCCATTAACAATAAATACATCGATTAGATAAAGAACGTAAATATCTAGACGTCATCAGTTGTAGATTATGAAAAAATTGTCGAAGGTGAAATGCATCATTGTGAAACCCATCTCCCACGAATTTTCCTACTTTCACTTTTGAGCTAAAATTTTTAAGTTAACAATATGAGTTTTTTTAACAAACAGAATTTCTATTCTTACGTCCAAAGTACACTTTACGACTTGTTTTCAAGCCTATAGTTTTATCTTCTCTCAATATTTCTATTAACAAAATATCAATTGTCATTCTAACGTTAACAAGATAAAATCACTAATTATGGACAGTTTTAGCATGAAAAGAAGATGAGGCCTAGTCGTTTGGTTATTCTCTCTATCACTGATTTATATCAATAACTAACAATAATAATTCGTAGAATCTCATAAACATAAAGTAATCTTCGTTAACTTGTCTTTATTCATCAAGGTAATTTTGATAATAATTTAAAATAACGTACTTGATCTTCATTAGTATAATGTACACAACGTATACAAAATGGTGGTTCAAGATTAGCGAACCCCAAAAGAGGTGGCCTAGAACAACTGGTAACAAACTGTAGAAAAAACGAAAACAATTGATTTCTATTACGTAGAGAGTAAATGAAATACTTTATTTCACTAAATACTGAGGGAGTATGAAATGTAGAAATTTATTTATATATTGTCCATAGGAAACGTTTCTGAGATTAATGTAGAGACAGGTCAAGTACATTATGGCTGACTGGTGAGATAACTTTTAACCGTATCAGTTGATTGTCTACCTATCAACCTTCGATTCAATTACTGAATCGGCACATTTACGAGTTATACAAAAATAACTAATTGTATCAGTTGAACAACTTTGATTATTCGACTGAACGAATTAAGCCGTAACCAAGGATGTAAAAACCCCACTAAGGAAAAACACATTATGAACTATGTATTATGAGTAGACACTAAAAAGAATTGACAATACATTGTGTACAGAGCCTTAAGTCACTAACATATTAGACAATCAACCGCCTGCAAACCATGTGACTTATTAAATATTACTGTAAACTAACTGGTTACTACAGATAATATTACCCATTTGCTCTGAAGAAGTGGCTTACATTAAGTCACGAAACGTCAGAAATACATTTTTTCTATTCATTGGGATATAAAAATAATATAACTATTATTAACTGGTTACTAGTTATTGTAGACTTTGTTGTACGATATAACAAAGGATAATGGCGTATGAAAATTCAAAAACATGCACATATATGCCACTTAAGAGTTCTTTGGCTACAAGTGGCATAAGATTCATACAAATGTATTAAATAAATAAGGTTCTAGATAGCAGCTTTAAAGCTAGTAATACAATACGCCATAAATTTTCAATCAAAGTGCAAGTCCCACTGCCGTCATACTTCTATTTAAACACAACTAAATAAATCATTAATGGCACAAATAAGTGTAAACGGAGAACACATTAACTATAAATTAAACTGTACCGGTTTCTTGTCAGAAAAATTAAGATTATGACATGATTGACATTATTATATGGATTGTGAGACGGACAGTGAAATAATAACTAGTTGTGTATGTGAGGGAGTAGAAATAAACGAAAACAACTTACCTTCAAAAATAAACTACGTTCTCTATCGTCGAAATCACGCCTAAGAATATCCCATAACCACCGAATTACACGATGATTACTGTGAAATCCACCCGAATAACGTGTATGTTGTCTACAAAATTAAAGGAAAGCCTATATATTAAGGTAGAAACTGTTTAGTGGTAAACTGAACTATGAACAATAGAAGTCCTTTAAAACGATACCAAGAGATTTCAGACTAAATACATTTAAAATAAATTACTCAACCATTTATATCCGAAAGGCATTATATATTATCTAAACACATAAACATTGATGCAAAAAGACACCAAAATATATATGAACTACACAAAGTTGTTATCATTACCTTTGTGTATGTGCTGGAATACTACATGGGTGCCTAAACCGAAGTACAGGGTTTTCTCAGAGGGGCATTCCCCAAGCACTTAAACAGCTAATTCACGAGGCAGTAGAGAAACGTTAAGTGATGCTGTCCCATGGTGACCGATTACTGACAACAGATCTACACTCAATTCGATCCCCTAACAATCCTGGAGACCATATGCACCACTGGCTTGGAATCACGGTTTTCCAACTACCCTACATGGATCCTCCATATCCACTAACTCGGTTTGAGCGCTGATATTCACTTATTGTGCTTTCCATTTCATAAACAACAACCGCGCCAAGAGAAGGCAGCGGGTAGAAGTACCCTGACGGAGGCTATCCACACATGGCCATATGAGAACATTTCAAGTGGGGATGCAGTGGCACCCTCATCCACGGATATACCAAGGAATTCGTGGGCTATCTAAAGTGCACCAAGCAGTGATGTTTATTTTATTTAATTTGTGAAAGTGTCATCCGTTTTAAACATTTAGGTACAAAATCAATATAAATATTCACAAGAAAAGTGTACATGTAGGCATAAATATAATCAATCAAGCAATAAAATGAACTAGGCGGTCTGTTTGAATATCTGTGCTACCTGTTCATGCCATCTGGATATTTCAACAAGTTATCTGTTTTCTTGTTTGTTTTAACATATCATTATGCCCATTAGTCGCATAACCTATTCAGGAGCGTTTGTGACAAGTCTACAAAATTTCGTTGTAGAAGTTACAAAAGAGCCAAATCAGAGATATAATGGTTGCTGGCAATATGCATCGAAAAGAATGTATATTATTCAAATATCGATTCCCGAACTGCTAACCTCTAACTGGCGACCACTCAATATTTATCTCGAGGATCGATCAACAAATAAGAAAAGGAAACATGCTGAAACACATTATGCTGAGAATTCTATATTGTACCAGAAATATAATATTGAATAAAGCCAATAATAATAATAATAATAATAATAATAATAATAATAATAATAATAATAATAATAATAATAATAATAATAATAATAAGGATCAATCCAATTTTATATAATCCCATCATACGATAAGTTTAATTGACTGATTACAAAGATAAATTTCATCAAAATATAAACCTAATATTTATTGTTTACTTACTTTAAATCATCAATATCCATTGAACTACTATCACCTGAGATAAGTGTTTGTAATTCTGATGGAGAAAACATAGCCAACCAATCAGGATTTAGTATAGAATAAAATCCCCGTATAAAAGAAGCAGTCTGTGCTCTAATTTGTTTATACATTCGAAAGTGAGCAACGCTATGAACGTAACTTATTCTTTATGCAAAAAAGGTATAATTGAAATTTAAAAAAGACATTTGAACATTGAATACGTTATCTAAGATTACAACGGTCAAAATTTTAAATAATGTCATTTGTTAATTAAATTTTAAATGTGAAAACATACGTAGATTTACTAAGTATAATATTATTGAAGTAACCAGTCGTTGTTAATTTCTGTGAGCAGCAAATCAACTTGTCTTTGAAGCATTCAGTAAGAAGGAAACACCTTAATATATAATCAATAATTTTAGCTAAAAAGAAAAACTCCCACTGACTGAGAATGTGTAATAACAATTTAACAAACCGCTTTGAAATTAAATTTGTGCAACAGATCAACTAATTAAATTGTAAACTATAATGGTAATTGACTTTGGAAATAAAGAATATATTATTATTTAGTTGAATATGAAACATCGGAAATTGACGAAGTCTAAGGTTATGTACACTACTAACACATATACAGTATAATGAAAGCGGGAAAGTTTGGAACAATCACCATTATATTCAATTCCGACAGAAATCTTAAAACCTCTCGTTTTTAGTAGGGTATTAGGGAGGGATAATATGACATATAGACAACAAGTTGTTTGTTTCAACTATTACGTAACGTTCAAAAGTTGTAAATATTTACCGCTATAAACCACAAATTGAGAAGCACCTCATTAGGGAACAAGATGTGTACACTCTAAACATAAACACTTTACTTCAATGCTTTATATACATTTAACATGAAAATGCTCAAACGTAAAAAAAGGATAAAGAAATAGATTACTTGACATCATTCGTTACAGAAATTTGACGGCCACCAGGACAGAGATCATGTATAATCACTTGACCTAGACAATCTTCAGCATAAGAATAAGTGAATTCCAGATCGGAAACATCTCCATCATAATGCTAAGAAAAAATAAAATTTCGATTGTGAATAACGAAAAAACATCAAGGACAAAAAATACTGACAATATAAATGACTTTTGAAAATGTTAGTGTAACCCATTACCAAGTTATAAGTTGATCTATTCACCAATGGAACAGACTGCTCCTGTGAAGGTTAATAATAACTTAGTTATTTAAATAAAAATGATTACAACAGGATTACAACTTATTTTCAATCGATTACCCACTGGAAAATTTTTCACCACTAAGCCATGGCCTCACATTAACACACAAAAGAATGCACAACCAAGAAAGACTATAGCGAATATGTCGAATCTCAATTTACGAAATATTTAGTCAATCTATTTGATAATTTTTATGATACAACGCGTTTCATGACTAAATAATTTGTCATGACCATACTGACAGTCATAGATTGGTAAAACGAATTCAGAATTTTAATAGTCGATTTATTTAATTAGATCACACTAACTGTAGTGTGTTAAACATCTGTGACGATAGATATGATCTTTTATGTTCAACATATGTAAGTCAGCTATATACATATATAATAGACGTATTGTTTCAAGAAAAGTTGGAAAAAGTTTACGATTAATTCTGTGCATACTGAAAGTGGATGACGCTTTTCCACGGTTATGAATGTGTTGTAACGGGTGTGACTGCAGGATAGATGCGCAGCGTATTTATCGATCGCTCCTGTGACAGTGGACACGTAAACACGTAGTGGACGACCTAGTGCCCTGATTGGCCCTGCTTCGCTGTCTGTCCTAGCCAGTTGAGTCAAGGACACAAGTCACAGCCTCTGAGTTATGAATCATTATATTTCAAACATACTTTGTTTATATACCAATCAAGCATACCACATCGTACCATAAAATAGAAAACAACATTTTGTACAATATTCAACAAGTGAACAGATATCGACCAATAGGAAATGTCCATTTAAAGTCCAAGGACACCATTGGACTTAACATGATAATTATTGGTCTATTCCTTCGCATCCACAACAGAATGTATTTGAAATAAGACAAAATGTCGTGTCGCTAAATGATTATTGAATATATCTAAATCTGTCACAACTTAGCAGCTTTGATACTGTAAAAATACCTGAGTATGCTTGCTTTCATTTAGACATTAAGAAACAAGATGGTTGGAGAAACATTACATGTGAGGACGGTTGGGTTTTGATACCGATTGTTTTCATTAGTCTGCGAATATATACTTTACACATGAGATTTCAAATGAAACCAACACACCGATAAGCTACAATACTGTGTTCGCTTATACTGTTGAGAAGTTTTATATAAGCTTGATGCTCGTTTGAATTACTTACCTAACGTTAAGTGAAGATGAATTGGGGAGAGTTCCGCAAACAATGCGAAAAGATTGCTAATATAAGTATGGAAGTTTATTGACCTACAACTACATGGGAAAGTATAGACTGACTGACACTAATATTATTAGGATAGTTAAAGTTAGGTATTGTATCGTCCAGTAATGATGAAATCAGCAACCTTTTTCAAAACTTCAGACATTTTATGATAATCAATGTACAGGACGTTGGTTAATGTAATGAATCGTAACATTTCTTAGTCAAACGAAATAGCAGAACAGAATTAAAAAGAGTAAGTTTCGACCATCGATCCCAGGATACAAATTTTTCATATTATGTTTACAAAATAGCATATACTAGAGAAAAAACATTTTATAGGATAGTTTATTGGTAGATTATGTTGAATGTAGATATTAGATGACTCTCCGTGTTGGTTTATCGTTGTCTACGAAGGATTGATGAAATTTGGTCGCACCACCATATTGTAGGGGTTCGGCATCATGTGTTTGGATACAGCAACGATAATTCAATTGGTGTCATCATTTTGAAACATCGACTTCAGTGGCTTGGAGATGTCTTACGAATGTCATACCAGAGAATCCCACGCAGTGCATTATTTGTCGACGCTGGGACCACTTGCGAAATGTGGAGAGGTGGTCGGTGTATGACATGGTGTCGTGGTATGAGAAAGAGCTGTACAAGACTGGTATATGTTGGCCCTTCACGACTTCATCGTTGGTGTCCTAGAGATGGTGCAACACAGTTGCTTGAGAAGTTATCAAATATGGCTCAGAATAGATTTATTTAATTGAACACATAAATATTAGTGCAAAGGGGCACCAAATATATATGCGCCACACAAAAAAATGAGAATGGGGAGAAAATGGTGAGAGGCGTAAGAGAAAAAAAGAATAAGAGGAACAATAACGACCAGATTAGTGTAAGGAAGTGTAATAGTAATAATAATAATAATAATAATAATAATAATAATAATAATAATAATAATAATAATAATAATAATAATAATTTAAAGACAAAATAATACCTGAAATTTCAACAAAGACATGTGTCGCACAGATGTAATAATAGTATGAGCTGACTGAAGATAAGATCTTAATAATAATCAGTCAGTCAGCTGCAACATGGGACCGAGCACATATGTGCATTGGTCCAAGTTGACATACCTCAATAGCATAACAAGATGAACACCGGATTCATCAAAGTAGTTAATTCAGTGGTGGTAATATATAAAGAAAGATTGTGTATAAGGATATTTATTTATTTATTTGAACACATAAATATTGGTACAAGAATGCGCCAAATATATATACGCCACACAAAACAATGAGAATTTAAGGGGAATGAGAAAAAAGAGAGAATAATAACGAAGAGATTGATGTAAGGTGGTGTAATAATAATGGTAAAAATGAGGGAACGGAAAGGTACAATCAGAAGAAATCTTTCAGTTGAGGAAGTTACAACCACTTTTTATGAAGAAAGTAAAAGAAAGTTACAGCAGGATCGCCACTGGCTTCTATTCTGAGCCATATCTGATAACGTCTCTAACCACTGTGTTGTACCATCTCTCGGACCCCAACCAGGGAGTCGTGAAGGACCAACAGAAGCCAGTCCTTTGCAGCTTTCTCTCATCCCACGACACCATGTCATATACTGACCACCTCTCCGCTTTCTCCAACCAGTCCCAGAGTCGGCAAATAATACACGACGTGGAATTCTCTGGAATGACATTCGTGGAACATGTCCAAGCCACCGAAGTCGGTGTTTCAAGATGGCGACACCAATTGCACTATCGTCTCTGTGCCCGAACACACGATGCCGAACCTCTGCATTACTAACATGGTGTTGCCACTGGATTTCGGCAATCCTTCAGAGACAACGATGATTGAACACAGAGTGTCGTCTAACCTTCTCAACTCGGAGAGGCCAGGTTTCGCAAGCATAGAGCAAAACTGCTCTCACCGACGCGTTGTAGATCTAAACTTTTAATGCCAGACTGACATCACGAAGGCCCCAAAGGTGGCCCAGATTGGCATAAGCCGCTCTGGATTTCACTATACGTGCATTGATCTCATCATTCACACCCCCACCAGCACTTATGCAGCTACCTATATACACGAACTTCTCGACTACTTCTATCTGCTCACCATCCAGAGTGAGTAGAGGATTAGAATCCTGCCAGTCTTTTAGAAGTAGTTTGCACTTCGAAGGTGCAAAGCACATACCATACCTACGGACACTGATTGCCAACTGATTAAGTGCGAATTGCATGCCTTAGGCATTATCGCACAGTAAGACAATATCATCATCCGCATACTCAAGGTCGAGAAGTCTTTCTCCAGGCAACAGATCCACACCACCATTACTTACATCCATCAGAGCTGTTTCCAGAATGTCATCGATGGCAAAGTTAAAGAGGAATGGTGAGATTGGGCAACCCTGCCTAACCCCACTGTTCGAATGGAACAATGGAGAAAGGTAGTTGTATGCCCTCACTCTGCCTGAGGTGTTTGTATATAGGGCTTTCAGGATGTTAATAAACTTCTCAGGCACACCCTTCTTCAATAAACCATCCCAGAGAACAGTCCTGTCCAACGAATCGAAGGCAACCCTGATGTCAAGAAACATTACGATTGTTGGCCTTTGATAAGTATGATAGTGTTCTAACATAAGACGGAGGGTGAAGATATGATAAATACATCCTCGACCGGAACGAATTCATCCAAGACACTAACAAGAAGTCTGCTGTGAGTGAAAAAACCTGTGAAGCCGATGGGATGGTAAACAATAACATCTGCCGACTTCTTGGAAGATGAGCAGAGTTTCGAGGAGCAACTCATTAGTCTGCTGCCCTGGAGACACCGATCAGACTGTGCTGTCCTCTATGGCTGATGAGGACTGATCCACATAACGAGGTGAAAGACCACAAGAGAAAACTATCGACTGATTCCATGACGTTGGTACACTCTTTAGTTCCCAGACCTTTGTAAACAACGTTGTCAGTTCCTTATCCGGAAAGTCACTACCATCTTTAAAAAGGGTCGGAGGTAAGTCATCTGGGCCAAGTGATTTGTAGCGCTTCAAGAGTTGGAGTTCCTTGCGGACTTCCGCCTCATTTGGTGGATCAGTCGTCGACCGATGTTAGTGATTAGCATCCCGTCATCCTCGCAGATTGTTTCGCTCACACCAGACTTCTTGCTGCCGTTGGCTCGGATGAGTTGAAAGAGCTTCCGGCAGTTACCAGGTGCAGCACGCTCCGACCACCAGGGTTCTCGGTCCTTACGCAAGCTTTGCCCGATTTCATTACGTGATATCCTTCGTTTGTGGTCAAACTCACGGTCACGCGGAGTAGACCGACGGGCTTCAATGAGTTGTAAGGAGCCTGAGGAAACCCAGTACTTATAAGCGGGACGTTTCGCGAACCCACAACTGACTGTACCCGCCATTTTCATGGCGTCATGCAATTGCAACCAATGCTCATCTATACTTTTCGGTCGAATGGTAGCTAGCCTAGAAACTAGCTCGGTTCGATACTTACTTGCAACAGAAGCTGCAATCAATTTGCTAACATCAATCTGTTGGTGGTGGTCACTTCGTTGGCTACTGAAAAGTAAGGTGGGATTGGCGCAGATCAGGGCATGATCAGAGTTCAAATAGGTACTCCAAAAGGAGCGGCAGTCTTGTACACAACCACGCCAACGGTAGCTGATCGTGATGTGATCAATCTGAGTCCAGGCTTGGGATGCAGAGGGAGGACGCCAGGTGGCATATCGGCGATGACTGTGACGAAAGTTAGTGATAGCCAGAAACAGGTTGTGGTCTGTGCACAGTTGCGGTAGACGGTCCCCGTTATCTGTCCTGCGACCAACAAGTCTTCATCGGCCACCTAGACGACCCTCTTCTATGCCTAGACACCCGACCTGAGCATTCAAGTCTCCGCCTCAGCTCTAGCGCTTAGTGCGACACCAACGCCAGCAAGACCAGACGAAGGTGCCACAGGGTCCTCGGATAAGCGCACGTAAAACAAGCTTTTTGAAGCGATAGGTGGAGAGCGAATTTGTAGTACTTCACCAGAGTCTTCAATACGGGTCTCGGATAGACTACAAACGTCGATATTAAGACTTTCCAAAGACATAGCCAGCCCTATCTGTAGTGCGAACGTTGAAGGAAGCCAGTTTGAATGATGCATGTGGTTTCAGAAAACCTGCTTCAGTATTCGTATTAGGTGATAGCATACAATTTTCAACCAGGCAATAACTCGAGAACGCTTAGATAGAACCGAGTTTCTAATATAGGCGAGCTGCTGTATAAGTCGAAAAATAAGGATACATAAAGTGGGGATAAAAGAGAGTGGATAAATAACGTAGTAAATATTAATAATAATAATAATAATAATAATAATAATAATAATAATAATAATAATAATAATAATAATAATTATTATTATTATTATTATTATTATTATTATTATTATTATTATGTGAATTGTTTGACTGTAAATCAAAGCGAGAATAGAGTTTTCAGTAAATACCGTCATTTTCATTACCATTATACCTGTGTGTGGACTGTGATACTTCCCATGTGCCCATACCGAAGCAGGTGGTTTTCTTAGGGGGCCACACCCCGAGCCTTTGACCTAAAAGTCTAACCCGCAAGGCAGTGGAGCATCGTGAGGAGATGCAGTCCCATGGTAGCTGGTGACCAAGATTGGTTCATACGCCATTTGTTCCCTCAGGATACTGGAGCCCATATGCACCGTTGGTTTGGGATCCGGTCAAAGCGCCGGATATCCGCTTTTCTTAAACAACAACCCCGCCATGAGAAGACAGTGAGTAGGACTTCCTTGGTAGAGGCTGTATACGCGTGGCCGTATGAGAGCATTTCGAGAGGGGAGGCGTGCCCGCCCCACTCTTGGCCATACTGGGTTATTTTGGTGTGCTCAGAATAGAAGCTAGTGGCGATCCTGCTGTAGCTTTTTTTTACTTTCTACATAAAAGTGGACGTAACTTAATTAACTGAAAGAACAATTTATAGTTGTAGTTTTCCTAATTGGACTACTTCTCTCCTTATTATTATTATTTCATTCTCATACATTAATTTGTGTTCATTGTTGCTCTTCTTTTTACTATACTCATCCTTTGTTCTGTATCTCTTCACGAACACGTTGTTATTGTGTGATGCATATGTATTTGGCGCCCCCTTTACCACTGATTATACGTTCAAATAAATAATAAATAAATAAACCTTTTAATGTTTTTAAAGTAATAACGTGGAAGAAATTATGTGAATTATTTTACAGTTATATTTGTGAGACAATTTAAACTATAAAAATTAATTAAGAGAATTCAACTAACTTTAATATAACTTAAGCTTTTGTATAATTCCTTATCTAATGTGGCTAATTCATCAAGAAAACTGTAACATCCAGCTTTTTCACGACCAAGTAATTGAGTTAAAAAGAAATTTGCAAATGGTACGTCCACAACAATACACTAAGAAAAGTATAAAAACAAACGAATGATAACTGAAGTGTTCTAGAAATTATGAAAATTAGTTAATCCATAATAATCAGTATAAAGTTGTGGAGAATGTTCAGTTTAGATTGTTATCATGAATGGGCCAATGTTAGGCCACCATTGATAACTTGAAAGTACTGGACGGCCGTTTCGTCCTACTATGGGACTCCTCATGAATGCGAGTCCACGATCCTGCGACCCCATCCTAGGACCTCCTGTCTCGCGCACGAACGCTTAACCTCTAGACCAGTGAGCCGGCATCTAACGGTGTTAACGTCTAAATTCAACCAATCCACGATATTGAGCGACCGTCCACCATTGTCTTCAATGAGTAACTGCCTCACAACAGACAAGCTTGAATTCTATTGACCACGGCTTCATAATACATAAAACATTTGATTATTCTATTATTATTACTATTTCTACGGCAAAGTAAATACCATTCAACGACATGATTCAAGTAACTTGAAACTGTGAATTCTGTACTGTTCACTGTTTATAAAAAGTGCGATAACTTGTCAATGTCATAACTACGTAACAATTAGAATAAAATCTTAAAAACTAGCTACACGTGTTTCCACGACAATGTGTCCATTTGTTTATGATTGACAGATAAATGTAACTCTGATGACCAGAATGAGAATATATGTGTACAATGAATAATCATATGTGTTAAGTTTGTTTTACGTTCTCTCGCCTCATTCACTTCTCTTCGGCTCTTTTGTGAATTGTTTTATGCTACTTATTAACATTGAGTAAACAGTCGTATTCCTAACAACTTCTACACGTATGTTTACATACATATGGTTTTAACATTTATTGTAGTTATCATTATAGTCAATTTCTTTCAATCCTTGAAGCAGTTATCCACAATTCTGTGCGATTATTTAATCCTTGTTTAAACGCGACGGCTTCCATGTTGTTTGCTCTTATTTTAGTTTTTGCTTGTTGATAAACTATTATCAAGTTTCGACACAGTTATACAACCTACATGTTCACTTCAATTACTTTTGAACATTACAAGGTATTAAATAATTACACAATTTCAATAGTCCCTTTGTGGCACATAGAACGTGAATTATTCACGACATTACTGATTATTCAGTTAGACAAACGTTTACTTGATTTATTCGGATTCCAACAAAAACAGATCTACAAAAATAAGCCCTGTATATACCTAGAAATACCAAGTTGAAACTGAGATTGACTGCATACGTTTTACACCGCAGCTTTTTTCATTACTTAAACGTGGTTGATCAAATAGAACAGTATCATCACTCATGAGATAAAAATATATAGATTATTGTCTGAAAAATCAATATATGCGTATCACTAAGATGTATTTATTCTCGATTATTTTTAGCGTTCATTTAAATGAGAAATAAAGCTACAAAGACATGTAGGAGTAATAAAAAAATAGATATACGGATGCACTGGCTATCATACTTAGAACTCTGCGGAAATTTTTCCGAATCAGTATGAAATAATAGTTAAAAAGTTTGTAAGAATAATTTGACTTTAGTCTCAAACACTTCTGTTTTGATTTAGATAGTTTTTACTCTATCAGTACCAGTGATATAAACATGGAACTTTAGATAACATACTGGTGATTTTATGTTGCATTATTAGAATAATATAACAAGTGACAAACGGCCTTAGTAAAGTTGCCTATACATGAAGAGTTTTCGATATTAATTCTATATGAATAACTCAGAGGTAAAACAATGCATCATTCAGGTGCTTATCTGACCCAAGTATAATCTGTCTTTACTCCAGACTAAATAATTATTTAAGAGAGGTTAATGATACTTTAATTTTATGTATGTTAGAACCCCAACCTAACTGGTAGTACCACTAGACCTAATATAAAAAGTGTGAACCAAAGCTGATTAAACGGATATTAATTTGAATTCTTTAAAAAAGATCACGATTCACTATCAGCATTAGATAGTACACAGATTGGATATAAAAACCACTAACCTCATAAACAGCTTTGGCAAGCATTTTACCCAAAAATTCGAAGAGCTGTAAATGACTTTCTTGTAAATGTGAAGTAGGTGACGGATATAAACGCTGGTCATTAGTCACACGAAATAAATTTAAACTAGGGTCGAATACACGACGAAGAGTTTCTTCTAAGAATTCTTTAAACACACCGTCTAAATCAATACCAACTTCATCTAAACCCTACACATTAAAATATTAAGACAGATAAAACAATGAACGACTGAATCATAAAATTGAAATTAACGTACACATTAAATAAGTAAAGAGGTGAGAAAATTGTCATTGATACCCGTTCACCTAACGAACGAACTCCTAAATAATCAGACCTACCATTATTCAATAAAGTTCAGAATCGTATAATTATCTTAGTATGCTGAACAGTTTAGAGGTTACAGTCTACTAATTGCTGATTTATTTGTCCTTAATATAGTTTATCAGGACGACATCAGATTACCTAGTTCTTTTTCATTAATAAATGATAGTTTCTCAAAGTAGGGATAACAACGATAATATTTTTTTTCTAATCCATATTTTCGTAACAACCTCTGTTGACATTTCATTAGTTATTTTCACTTTTCCTAATTTTACTGTATGCCAGTCATTTTCTACTACAATATGCACAGAGTTATTCTACAACAAAAGTACATGGTGAATTGTCCAAAAAAAGATAGATAAATATGTATATACATTTCTGTCCTCTGTAAATGTGTGGGAAACACTTCAGAGACCAAAAAAGAAGAAATCAAACTACTTTTGGAAGACTGCCATTCACATTTCAAATGACTATGATTAAAACTCAATAATACAACACTTTTTGAACACGGATCAATCTTTCAGAAAGTTAAGTCTTGATTTTCCAAATCCATGTGTATATGGTAGCTCTGTTTTTTTTTGTGTTTCAGTTCATTCATTCCTGAATAAAAGCATTACATTCAAATTGATGTTATCTACCTCAGAAAACACTAGGCACATAAGTTGTATAGTCTCTCGCGAAAGTCTACTTTTTAATTATCAAATGTAACATACACCGAGAATTATACAGCAAAAACGTTAAGCATTACCACAACTACATAAAATGATTTATCTCTTAGTTCAAACATACCATTTCGTTTACAAACTGTACACGTATCTTCATACGTAACTGAGACGAAGTTAAATTTGCCAACTGTTGATAACCGTCCTAAAAGTGAAGCAAAGTGAATTAGTAACATAGTTACGTCACAACTACTTCACAATATACTTTTATCTACATATCGATGATGATAATAATAATGCATCAAAACTTACTTCAACAATACGATTTCTATGAACTGTGATGACAGCACCAACTGGACCATCATCTGTAAGCCAATTTGTACGAGTATGTATCCCCAGTGATGCTTTGTCTTCGCGTACAAAATCTCGAAAAAGAATAACACGCTTAGGAAAAAATCCATTCATTAACATTTAAATAACATGACATACTTCTTTGTGCGGAATGATATGCGGGATATGCTTGAGCAGAAACGTCGCATGTGGTTTCGGTTTCCGTAGATCTGCTAGAAAAGCTGAAACTTTGAGATTTCTGATTTCAACAAAAATTTTAATTTATCAGGTGTGATTTCAACGAAAATGACCCGAAATTAAGAAAGGAGAAAATAAAGAAAACGTAATGTAAATGATGATAGAAGTTATCAGTGTTATAATAAAAATAAACAAGAAAAATTAAGATTCTTTTTCCCCATTTTTCTGTCTTTACAACAAACCTTAAATAACACACAAAAAAGTAGTTAATCTGATATTTTAGGTTTAAAAGATACAAACGTTACACAAAACACTTAGGTCATAACTATCTGTAAACAAGATTTACTGTACTATAGTAGAAACAAAATGATCAGATAAAAATATTATACTTGCTTAAGAGGAAAACTCCATTCATTTTAGTAAAATTAAATTGTGTTAGCCAAAACATCCACGGCACAATGACAACTAGCAAACTGATGTAATTTTTATTAAAATTCACATAATTTACGGTGATACGTTTTAGATGAAGCATGTTTTAATAAATTCCAAGAAACTGTGGTGTTTTCCATCAGAATATAGAGTGTAATTAGCCCAACTAATCTCTTGCTGATTAACAACTTGTGCAATTCAAGATCATGTATAAATCAAAAGTTGGTTGATATTCTAACTGTAATAATTTGTTGATAATAAGTAATTCATCAATAAATAGAAGACTGATAGACCATTGGATTCCCGCCAAGTGGTCTGGAAGTTAAGTGTTCATGCCCGAGACCAAATGTTTTGGGTTCGAATCCCAGATGCGGGGTCGCGCATGTGCACTGCTGAGAAATTCCAAACTATGACGAGACACTTATCTAATGCTTTCAAATTTTTAATTATCGTGTAACTTGGGTCGATTCGTGATTTCAATAACAAATATACACCTGTATAATCATATTCACACGTTAAATATACAAAGTAAGGATTATATTATGAATAAATGTGAAGTACATGCAGTTTTTCAACAACAAAAAAGCGTATAACAGATTATACAAAGTAACTTACGATATTAACCAAAAATCCGGTGGTGTAAATAAATGTCTACTATCACGTTCATAGATTACAGATAATAAACGTAAACAAATTGTAAATAAATTAGGCATAACAGTAGATGAACTGTTTGATTGAATAGCAGACTTATTATTTTTATCATGCATTGCAACTGATTCATTGGTTTTATTCAATTTATTATCTTTACAAGACGGACTCCATAATTTAAGTTGATTTGCTTTTATAGGAGCGGAGAAAGACAAGACAATTTTATTAAAAGACAAGTGGAATTTATGTAAATGGAAAGGTGTAAAAATAATAATAATAATAATAATAATAATAATAATTATTATTATTATTATTATTATTATTATTATTATTATTATTATTATTATTATTATTATTATGTTAATTACATCAAAGTATCTATTGAAACTAACTATTTTATTTTTAATATATTTAGTCTGCACACCTTTCATGCACAGGCTACAGTGAATATCGTTAAAGTTGTTACTAACAATTGAACCTGATTACATGGCTTTTTTAAAGAGCTGATAACAATTTTATTGTGTAATCGACTTTTCTTGATTAAATTAACTAATCCACTATGCACTTTGGTATGATGAACTAATGATACTACTTGGTTGTCCAAATGAAAAAGGCACAGTGAGATTCGAATGTGTGACTTAATCGATGAAAGTTGGAAGACTTAACCACTAAATTATCGCTCCACGTTTTATGTGAAAAAGATTGTAATAGTCAAATATCATCAGAATAGTAGCAGGTGAAGTGAGGTTCGAACTAGCAACTGTGACAGACAGTCAAGGGTACTAACTAATAAAACATTAAACGAAAGTTCCTATAAAATTAAGTCATAGCGCAAAATCACGTCGTTAAATTTCACTAACCTATTTGTTATAACTTACAAACTAAGAATAAACATACATACAACAAAATGGAACAAATTATTTATTTTCACAGTTAGTTATCACCCTTGACATTCTCATAAAAAATATTTTAGAAAACAATATTGAAGAAGTATTTAGTTAACTTAAGAAATACTAACGGTCTCAACAATAAAAATTGTTGAATTTCACTGAAATCATGAACTGACTATCATTGAAAACCTGTAAGCACTGGATCACCGTCCCGTTCGGCGGTGCGCAACCATGATCTCCAATGAGGGAACCGAACTTAGGAAGTTTAGTCTCCATGACCCCATAGTGACAATTATCGTGTGCTCACCAGCAACTAGATTCGAGAGGAAATTTCCGGAGTCCTGGTGAGAAGTCGTGACTAGCGACGCTAATCCGTGCCGGGTGTGAGGTAGTTCCCCCCCCCAAAAAAAAAAGACGATGGAAGATGGTCATGGATTGACCAAGGTTAGTCATTAACACTGTTGGATACCGGCCTAGTGATCTAGAGGTTAGATGTTTACATGAGACACCGAGGGTCCTAAAGGGTTCGATTACCGAGTGGAGGACTGTGGATGCGCAATGCTGAAAAGTCCCATACCAGAACAAAATAGTCGTCCAGTGCCTCCAGATTTTTACTGGTGATCTAACTTAGATTGTCTCATGATTTCAATGAAACTAAACCTTATTTCTCGAGTTTAACTTAGAAAGCACGTTCGAATTTCTTGTGTCATGATGTAAATTTTAATACCATCCTTACACAATTTTAGTACAAACACGTTGACGGAGATGAATCTGATTACCTTAATTAAAGAATCCATTACTTAACTGAGGATACTCAAACATCATAGTTCTGTCAAGCGATATGTATAAGATGTAAGATATTTCGAACATTGAGTAACGATTTGAGAATCTACAACAGATGGTATTTGAATTTGGCAATTATGAGATGGTCACTAGTATTTGTTTATGAGTATTTACTTTATAAATAATCCTAGTACCCAGTAGTATTGTAGTGAACAAGAACACCAGTGGAAACAATCGAATTTATTTGACACGAAATTACACAGCATCTCAATAATATCTGAGAACCATATAGTAAATCGTTAATTTGCAAAACATCAATCCGTCATCCCAAACTTAACTGTTCCTGTTGCAAACATCAATCCATTGTCTCAGATTTCATTGTTCATGTGTTTTCACACGAATTGCGTTCCGTTCTCGTTCTTTCCTCATCGACCTTCTACTGAAATACATTCTATGTCTGACCACCTTCATATACTACCTGTGTGGATATAAGTAACCCACACCACAGTATCACCGAGTGAATCTAACCAGAAATTTTTAGGCAATTACAGTAAACCAGTCAATCAGGAAGTGAACCTCTGTCAACCGAAATGGTGCAAATCTATTCATCCTTTATCCTTCACCGAATTTCAAGACTTTTGCTTTCCAATTTCACCAGTACTAATGTTCTCTTTCTGACGATCTTATTTACATAAAAAGGTTATGGAACATTTTGTCTGATGCATTACTGCACAACGGCTTTACAATTTCACTGTTTACAACTCTATCTGTAAACCGATATGATATAGACAGTTAACAATTGTCAACTTCGATTACCTACGTGATGAGCATATAGTTATTGTGAATAAATAGACGGATGTATTATCCTGTAAATTTGATCTCATTTGAATTACTTTGGTATTTTGCCGAATGATACATTTAATTTACTTCTGTTTAGTGAAATCAAATAAAATTTACCTTATTAATAGAGTAGATAATAGCACTTGATCAAACAGTCACATTAATGAAAGATAATTGACACTTACGATCTGGTACCATAATGACTGATTCATAAATTAAATGATTAAAAAATGAACCCATTGAACATAATTCGTCAATTGTAAACGATTTTTTCAATTCAAATAACTCGGCATCATCTAATATGCTACAAAGAAAAGTATACAGTAAATTATACAATCTACTAATCAATTTATCTACTTTTCACAAGAAAAAAAAAACATATTTTTTTAAAAGTTTAATTATTTATAAATAATTTTAAAGAATTAAAAACAATTTTTATTGTGAATTGATAATATTTGAAGAATTAACTGAACGCTGTAGAAATTTTTAATCTTGTAATCGTTAATCCATTAAGCAATGCTGTTATATTGCGGAATCCCCACTGTGATAACTGAAAAATAGGCTCTATCGTCACTGTTATGTACGTATCGCTTCTGTTGAGACCACAGTTTTACTGCTTTTACTTGAAAATCGGGAAAAACTGCAATTAATCGACCCTACCATTTATACAGAGAAATCAGTACAATTCCAACGACGTAAAGTGGGATCATGAAATATTAATGCAATGAAGGTTCATTAACTCGAAGACCCAACGACAAGAAGTACCAAATCACATCACCCTCAGACCACAATACAATCATTCATATGCCAAATTTCATACACACTTTGTGGTACCACAGGTGAGGGGGAATACATAGAGTTACTCTAAAAACACGCAATAAATATATTTAACTTGAATTAATATAGGGAATAAAATTTTCACACTGAACCAGAATTCACACTTGTCATATAGAACAAATAATATTCCGTCATATCAAGTGCGTACCAACTAGTTCACACAGGAATGAGCAATTCGAATATGAGAGGATATTGTCAACATGAAATATACTGCCATAAGTTTACACGCAACAATTATGATGACTATTTATTTTTCAGAGGTTTAAAAAAGAGCACACATTCAACTAGAAGGACATTAAATTTAGCATAAGTGTAACTGATTTACAGTAGTCCCCTGGTTTTCGAAAACGTAAAATATTTTGAATACAGTCAATCGTATTGAGTGAAACAATCAGATTATAAAAACAGATAAATAAATATTGTTCGCTAAATTTTTAGTCCAACTTTTCGTAGAAGTGCCTCAAAATATCAATATGATTTAACCACATATTGTGACAAAAGCGAGTCGATGTCAAATGGTCTTCGTTACACAAACCGGTTTGTATTTTGTTTTATATCAACCGTCACTCTACAGAATGTATGAATGAATATAGAATGTTTTAATGTTGAAGATAACTCTGACCAATTTAAATTTAACAATTATAAATAATCCACCGAATTGCTTAGAAATTCACTAATGACCTTCAAAAATTCGAGTACAAGTTTACATCGCGCTCGACTTTTTTCAGATCTGAAGCCACAGTAATATCATGTTCACAAAGTGTCGACAGCAGCTGAATACATGAACGTGCACTTGGCTTAATAACTTATATTCAGTTAAGTAAAAACCGGTATTATATATAAAAGTAGACAACATACCTCAACAAATTGCTTGTAGCTGAAGCAAATATTTGCATCAAATGAGATTCATGTGGTTCTAAATGGTAAACTGATTGTGAATTCATAATCACATGAGCCCAATCACGTACAGATCCACAGCAAGAAATTAAACGCCACATACGAGGTAATAAATCACCTAATGATAAACCTGTAGTGATTGTTAGTTATTGAAACACAATAAAATAATAAGTTATGCTAGGACAGATAAATCGAAGAAGAGACGTGACAAAAGAATCCTGATGAAAATTCATCTTGTAAATAAACAAAAACTGTCCAGTTCCTCAATAAATACTCTGAAAGTTGATGAAGGAAACACTCAACTAATCAACTTAGTAGATTTTTTTGAGGAAACGAAAAATAGATGTCCAGATAAATGAATAATTTCTAATGTATTCCCTAAATAGTAATCTGAGTGGAAACATTGCACAATTTATTAATTATAACTACACGATCGTAACATCTCGGTTAGTCAGTCATGCACAACGTAGAACTTGGTACATATGTGTATGGGTTCAAGTTGCCACACCCCACTAGCACAGTGAAATAAAATTTTAAAAGCAAATCTCAGAGTAGTAAAGGTAGTAACATGATTATTGACAGTAAAATAAGATTAGGCAGAGAAGATATGATTCAAGAAAAAAATATAAATAAATCGGAAAATAATAAAAATTTGTACGGTAATTTAGAATTACAGAATCCAGGGTATGAGAAAAAATGGATGCGTCTGAGCTTAAGAAGTCTGTCGTCCTATTTGACACAAGTTTTGAAAATCAAACGCTCCAACTTGTAGCTTGGAGCGTGGGTTTCAGGAGACAAAAATAACATTCCGTGAGCTCATACCATTAGCATCGATGGTGCGTGGATAAGGGCTAGTCGTGAGAATGGGACAGTTATCAAGCGGTGAGGTAGGGATTTGAGTGTGAACAAGATGATCTCGAGTGATGTTAGGAAGGATATTGCCTCATGAGAAATCTGAAAAGGAAACTGGGTTAGTGATGGTATCGGTGACGCGAACGTGTGACCACAGGATCGAAGGGGGAAATTCTTAAGAAGGACAAGGCACTGTCTTTTGGCGGCGAGTATTCAATGTGTTTACTTCGTGTTTAAAAAAGCCTTGCTACTGGAGACGTTATTCCATGAGGCAAGGTGAGGTATAAGATTTCTAGAATCAAACTTTTCTAACCCCTTCCGCTTGCAGCATCACTGTAGATGCTGTTTGCCAGGAGGAAACCCCTTATTGCTGTTACACTGTGGTACAGTCGGCAGTATGACTCGGGACTAGGAACATGAGTTTTCTGTTTTTAGACTTACTGTTCTTCAACCGACTTCCTTTGCATGATAAGACCTAAAGGAACAAGTGTTCCAGATAATATAACTCTATAGAGTAACTAAGATAGGAAATCCCGACCACTACGGTCGCGGCTGTAACACTAGTAGGATTTTCATAACAGACAACTAGCTTAAGACCATAACTTAGGATATCTAACACATGTGTATCATGATCCGAGGAGATATGCTACTAGAATATTGACCTAGAAATTTATGTTATCCTGACCCCGACCGTAGCTGCTACGCGGTGGTCGAGCTTGACTATCGTGATGAACCGACCGAGCTATATTGGCTGGAACATATGTTCCTGTAGGTCCTATCATGGCAGGCAGGTCGATTGGAGAACGGTAAGACTAAAAGCAGCAACTCAAGGTCTGAGGGCAAAGTCGTACTGCTGACTGTAGAGGAGTGTGACAGCAGCAAGGTGTTTCCCTCAGACAACCAGCATCTGCAGCAATGCTGCCCTCATACCCGTAACAGCACACGAGACCAAGTTGGTCACATTCAAATCCTTTCAACACCTCCTAATACCTCTCTTATCTTCATGACTAACCCTCCTCACGTTTCTTTATCACCTCGCACCACTACAACAAACGATTCGAGTACGCGGAACGTTATTCCTGGTCTCCTGAAACCACGCTCTAAACTACACGTAGGAGCTTTTAACGTCCGAACACTGTGCCAAATAGGACAGCAGGCTTCCTTAGCTAAGACTTTAGAATCCCGCGCCATCGATGTGTGCTGCGTCTCCCAAACACGCATACAGGATCCGAGTAGCGTCATTCACTTGACCTCACCATGCCAAAATAAAGAACCGACTTGATTCACACTTCGTGTATCTGGAAGCCCTGATTCTGCTTCCCGTGGCCTCGCCGGCGTAGGTATAGCATTGAGTCCTAGGGCAGAACTAGCTCTCTTAGAGTGGATCCCAGTAGACAGTCGTTTGTGCGCTGTCCGACTGAACGGAACAGTAAGAATCCGGAAAGATAGGGACACTCGTCGTTGCCTCTTCGTCGTCTTTGCCTACTCTCCCACTGACTGAAGCTCAGTTGATGTAAAACATGAGTTTTAGTAAAGATAGCAAATCAATTGATGACGTAGTGAAACTTCATCAGTTGAGATGGCTGGGACATGTGTTACGTATGCCCAACGACCGACTGCCTCGATGTGCGATGTTTTGTTGTATAGGAGTAGATTGGAAGAAAGCTAGGGGCGGCCAGACCAAAGCATAGCACAAGTCCATGAAGTCACTAACAAGTAGACTGAGTCATATTGGTAGGTGTAGACTAACCTGGTTGGGGACCGCGAGATGATAGCAACTGATGGTTAGAGACGCTGAATGACATGGCTCAAAATCGTTTGCAATGGCGCAAGTGCATCCACTCTTTGTGTTCTGCCAAATTCTAATCTTCTGAATTCTTCGTGTCCCTTTCTTTTTTCTCTTTCCAAATTTATTTCACTGGATTATACTCTTTGAATAGCATCTTCAAACCCTAATCTTTCAGATTACTGCTTATACTCTTACTACCTGTACCACTACGGGATTTGAATCGACAATTGTATCTCTGTGCTAACGTACGTACGAAGTCCTACGTTGTTACTGACTGACTGGCTGATGTTATCCCGGCTACAGTGAATTAAACACTGAGCATGATTAAAGCTTTTTCTAGACCAACTCCTAAAAAATTGCAAAATTTGCTAAGTGATCATATTTATTTCACTGAATAGTTGAAATAAAAGTGAGCTAAATAACATTGCTTTCTAATATACTTTCAGTACATTCTAAACAAAGTCAGCTCAAAATAATCTAAATCTATACCTAATGTGATTTATTAACTAAATCTCTGCTCCAATGAGATCGGTAACAAGACATCTTGATTAGTTTTTTCACTATCGCGAAATTTCTCGATTTTTATAAGCTCAAACTACCGCCATGTAAGCGTGTCGATTGTAATACTGAGCAGTAACAAAAACTGTAACATGTAGTTCATTTACGGGACTAATCCAAAAACTTTTAACCCAAAATTTTATCTATCAAACAGTGGATTCGGACTAAAATAGTAAACTATGATCAGAACAGGTTCATACATTACTCATTACCGATAATTCAAAGTCGAAAATCTAAATTTACCATTATGAATGAGTGATTGATCACTTGAATAAATGTGAGGTGTTCGAGTGATGATAGTTCATGAAAATCAGCTTATCCAAAAGCTTCAACTCAAGGAATACCAGATGATGATTAGCTGACAAAACTTACTTTTTAGTCAATAGAATATTTGCTTGAATGTGAAATACGTAACATTTTGTTTTAAGCTTTCACCATTAAACTAATCTTCCCAATTTGTCGCTAAACGACATTCTCCATTACACGACGATAGTAAAAACATTTTTTTAATTCGGTAAACAAAATAATAATGAAGTGTAATCTAATAAGAAAGTAAGAATTCAGTTCATTTAACCTGCCTGCCAATATAGCGCTTCTAATTTCTTTCAAACTTCCAGAAGTAAAACAATAAAGCATACACACAGCTTTTAAGGATTTCGGTAAATCACTTGGTCCAGGACTATCTGAACGTCCAGTGGAAAGATTTGGAATGTAATTATTAGTTATTTCTTTCTTATTTCGAAATCTAGCACGATATGCTGAAGAATTGGATATCTGACGTAGAAAATTTGAAAGACCATGACGTACACGATGCCCATAACCATCAATATCAGAGCCAGCCGATCTACTACCGCCCATCCGTGAAATAGGTGGCAATAACCCTAACACAGCAAGTTTTTCTGCTTTAGAAGGTGCGCCAGGTCCATGTTGACTTGTACAAGTTGTATTCGTAGAATGATGACCTGTGCTAGATGAACGGCCGTCCGATGTACTTAACTCAGGTAAGTTTAGCTCAGCTTGCGCATACAAATCGGCAAATAATAAACGAACCATCCGACCATTCCAGAGTAGTCTTAACTGACTTGTTACAAAGGACATGGCTGATTGTAAGCTGAAATATAAATAGTAAGAATAATAATTAGCTTATTCAATGAACATCATCATGGCACATCTCAGATTTACAAATCGAATTAAGTACATTATTTAGTCATCATCTCACAGAAACTGATGAACCATTAAAATATTTATAAACTGTGCTACAAAATAAGAGACAATCGTCAAAATTGTGTAAATGACGCAAGGTAGAATTTTTTAAAAGCTGATAACAAATGTGATTCCTAAGGTTTAGGATATTTTTACAAAATGTGATGCATTACTTTATAATTCAAAAGGCCTTGTTGAAAGTCTACAATAATTTAAGTAGCCTTATTACGGATTTAAGTAAAGATAAGTATCTAACAATGATATGATCTCTGTAAGGTATTGCACAAAGTACTGTTTATATAGTGTTCAATACACGGTCTTAGCAAAAATACGGTACCGAATCAGTGCTAAGAAGTTAGACAAATTCGGGTAGGGACTGAGACATATCACAAAAGTTCCCATGTATATATTTTACGATCAGTCGTTTCTATGTCAAACACTGTATTCTAGACTTTGTTTAGTAATCTCTATAATTCGATTTATGCAACATACAAAAGACATCATGAGTTTAAAAGCATTACATTAGTGAGCGTCATATATTTTTTATTATCAAGAACCGTGACAAAAGGATTCTGGTTATTGAACGCTAGATTAGCTATGAAACGGTAATTTGAATTAGACCTGACCAGGAATAGGAAAACCACTTTCTTATTTTACATTGTTTTATACGAACAGGCAAATGATTTGTCGAACAACCCAAAAGTCAAATATTTACAGATATTTTTTTCTCATGACAATTATAAAATTTATTTAATGGCTATCCTGGACTCAGTAGCTCAGTGAATAACACGTTAGAGCTTGAAGCGAAAGGTGACGAGATCAAGTCTTTATGTGAAAATCAACATTGAGATGAAGGTGCACTCTACTGACGAGTACCTAATAGGAATAAACAGGTGTACAGGATTCTACTACTTGTTACAATCAGTCTATTCTAAATAATTTGTGAAAAAGTTTTTTGACTTGACACGCACTAACTTACATTATGATTTTTGTTATCAAAATAAGCATAACATTTTATAAACCATTTCCTATTTCTCAGAAATGTGTATCCCGTCAACTATTTGGGACATCATTATTTGATGTAATTGAAGCTAAGAAATTTAAATATTTCTTAATTAATCTAACAATTAGAAAATATTTTATTCAAATGCAAATTCCTAATGACAATTTGATGAAAACAATCCATTACTTCACAGAATTTTTTTATTTCAACAACCAATAATTTCAAAAAATGAGGATTCCAAATTTCTGGAATCTATGATATGTTTAATGATTTAAGTAATTTTACCTTCGACCAAAGGACTACGAATCCTAACTCTATAACTCCTACTATAAATCTCATCTATCGTAAGGTTATTTTTGTTTGTTTTTTTCGTTAAAATTTTTTTAAAACCGTTGTCTAATGAAATTAGTTTTAAAATGGTAATTACTATTACCTTCATTTTACACTAAGTTTATACATAAGTACAAATCTCTAAAGCAGCCTGCTTGAATATCTAAGCTACCTTTTCCTGTTATCGACATATTTCAACAAGTTATGTTGTTGTTTGTTTTAACACATTATTATGTCTATTATTCGCATAACCTATTTAGGTGCAATTATGAAAAGTTCACGACCTTTTACTGTACAAGTTACGAAAATGTACAATCAGCGACATCATGGTGGCAGACAATATGGATTGAAAAGAATGAACATTATTCATATGTCGATTCCTAAACTGTTTCCATCTAACTGGCGACCACTTAATATTTATTGTCAGGATCGATTAAGAAATAAGACAACGAAACTTGTTGAAATACTTTGTGCTGAGAATTCTATGTTGTACCAAAAAATATAATATTGAATAAAACCCTTAATACTAAATAATGTTTAGATCTAGGTATTTTTCAAATCTGTTGAAACTGATGTGTAGTCAATTTAATGAGTTTCAAGTGGTACCGAATAAAATTAGTAAAGTCAATCGGCAATTTGATTTTTCTAAAAATTCATTTAAAAAGGATTACAACACTATCATTTTAACTAAACCCATGAATTTTACTTGACAGATAAATTTCGGATTTGTGTAATAGCATGTGGAATATATTTTTAGATACATTGCATTTCTAACATCGACTTAAATAAAAAGAAAGGTTAAGTTAATCAGTGATCAAAGTTAGTAGTTTATAATATTGCCGTTTACAAGAACTCACGAATTATCTAGTGATTGAGCGAACCACCCCAAAATTGGATGCCAACTGCAAAGATTAGACTTTTTACTACCAACATAAGTACCCAAATAATGCATAGATTTGGATAAAACAATCTACAGTGAAAAAATAAAACATTTATTCTTCGTTTATGAAATTTTCTTACTAATATTGATCCAGTCAAAATGTCTGGCAGTTCCATTTTTAAGTACATAATTATCATAACGGCTAAGAAAACGGTTGATATTCGAAGCCCTAAACCCATTGGATGCTCAATGAATTTGAATTATCATCGGCTGATTTACAGACCTTGTGATGGTGGAATTCTAAAAATATTTATTTCATATTTCTATGTCAGAAAAGGTTTTGCTTAAATTTTTTTTTCTTTTTAAAGAATAACGCTGAGACGACATGGTTGTCGATCGTTCATTTTTTTGCTAGCATTCATTTGGATAGTCAGAATGAACTTCAAAAGTTGGTATATTCAGTTTCGAAAGCAGTTATCCGTAAGTCACCACACAAAAGTGCTAATCATTATTTTAGAAATTAAATCAAATGTCTGTTGTTTGTGTGCAGTGTGAGGACCGTCCACGAGTGAACTCGAGGAAGCTCTAAGAAGCTCAGAAAGAGCCGAAGATATTCCATTCAATAATCTTTGGAAGAATATTCCAAAATCCCTACGTGTAGATTCTTTATTGGATAAATGCTAATGACCCCTGTATATGGATTAAAAGACTATAATGATGATTTCGTTTTTACTAAAAACTACAAATACTTGACATTTCTGTACTATAAATGACACTGTTTGGAATAGCATTCCTTTCACTTGTCTTCTGTCTTCTCACCTGCGACTTGGAAGGTTCTAGTGTTCGAGTGCTCTAGTTTTACACGTTATAACAAGAAACTAAGCTCTAGATATAACATGCAGTGATAACAAGGAAAAGCTTATGAGGATGTAATATCGTCTTTCATATCAATATTGAGAAAACATTTGAAAACAGCTTGTATTATGAATGGATATCGGAATTTTTTAATGCATTAAAAAATAGAAAGCAGCGAATAACGGTCTCGCTTTGATTGAGAACTTTATAAACTAAACAAAAATTTGTACAAAAACTAGTATGAGATTCCTCAGCAGTGTGCATCCAGGTTTTCGGTGATGGTCTAGCTTAGATCGACTCATGAATTCAACTGTTAAAATCAAAAAAAATTTTTTTAGAAAGGTCACTTTTCAGTATTATTATTGGATTTGGATTATTTTATAATAGATTATCAGGCAACTGAAGAAAAAATATACGTTAACAATTTTGTAGACTTACACAAAATTCTGTACAATGAGAGGCCAAGATATCAGTTTCTAACAGACTGAGTTGGATAAGATTTGCTAGATAATATATATTGATAGAAATAATTAATAAGGAAAAGAAAATACTTTGTTAAAAGTTCAATGAATCCATCAAGTTTATCTATTCTAAAGAAACGTTCCATGATTTAGTGTATTGTTTCTTACCTGATTTACTACAGATAATTCCGAAAATTTTCACTTCAGCTTGGATTAAACTTTAGTGTAGAGCATTAAGACCAATTAATTTTAACCACCAAGGCTTATAAGCATGGATTTAAATATGATGTGTACTCTGTTCAACAGATTCTGTGGAACTAGTAGTTAAAACATTGATGAAATTTCATATGTGAGCGTGATACGTTCACGTCTAAGTAGTGTTAGTCTTAGAAATACCAATTGAATACACCGGTAGTTTACAGGCATGTTGCCACTTTAAACGAGTTTAGTTAATACCGTTTGGTGTAGATGACTGCTACCTATATTTTTATTGGGATTTGATAAAAACATGATCTAGCTGACCGTTTAGGAATCAAGCTTTGCTCTGGAAATCTGATCAACGACTCAATGTATACAATAATATGGACCCGTCAAGTGGAGATAAAGAATGGATTCTGTGGAAAAACCTTGAGCATGAGTGTATACTTTGACAAATGTTACAGAAAACTCCAAGATCATTTTGAGCAGAAATCCAATTCGACAAAACACACATATAACTTCGCGTTTAGTTAGTGAATTACATTAATACTATAAGTCAGTTTAAAATAATTAGGTTTAGTTCATAACAAAAATACAGAGACCTGAATGCCAAACAGAAAATCCTCAAAATAATTGACTTTATTTGTAGGTATTAATGCCACGTTTAGACTTCATAGTTTCAAATAAATTGTGCATTGGATAGAAAGATAATAATAAATATATTTTTTGATATCTTAGTGAGTAGAAAATTGTTTTTCTGACGTTTCGTGACTTAATGTGATTTGCTTCTTCTTAGTAAGTAAAAAGAAAGTGACTTGCATTAAGTCACGAAACATCAAAAATACAATTTTCTACTCATTGGCATATTACAAAACTATAATTATTATTGATTGACTGTATGTTCAAATCAACCTGAATATGAAGATAATGGAAAAATTAACATTTCTTACCAATCAAGCATAAAACATATGATCCATCTAGCTTAGATAGCAGAATATTGAACTCTTCTGAACTATCGTATAATGTCATGATGATTTTGGAGCACAATCTCTCATTCACTATAATATCATACGCCTATATATAAAACAATTAAATCAGACACAATTAAGATGAGGATTTGTTTACATACGTGAATGGACAGGAAAGTGTATAAATAACAAATGTACACCATTAATTATGTTTGTAGTCGAGTACTAAATTATGAATTCCATTCCATTCGCGTGTGAAATGACGTAAATGATTTCATTTATAAACTGCTGTAATGAAGAATTACACATTCGTAATAAAGTTTTTAAGAGACAGATTTCAGGATAGTTGAGACATATACAGATTTTATAATAACGGTATATATATATATATATATATATATATATATATATATATATATCCTAGGATGGCAATTATAAAACAAAATTCAGACAAAGAGACATAAGGACGCTGAAAAGAGTCGTTTTGCTTACAATACTTTGATTATGTGTTCTATTGGAAATTGTTTATATCCATGAGAAGATTAAACAATTCAAAATTATAAATAAGTAGAAATTATAGAAACGACGAATAAAAAGAATTAAAGATTTGGGTTTGAACTTATGAGTCAAAATAATGCACTGGAAATCCCCATTGTGATACACTGACGATATCTTTCAAGCCTCAAGGTTCTAATCACACAAGATAATGATATGTTGCGACGACAGTCATGAAACAGTCAAAACTAATCTTATTATGTCAGCTATTTGTATTGCTCTATGGTTGAAGAAGTTTAACTTATTGGAATTTTCTCAGTCTCTACGTGATGGTTGTTGAATATAAAACCTCTACTTGAAGTTTGTGCTGAGGATGTCGTTCAGAACAAAGATGAAAGTTTCACGGCCAAACCATCCAACTAAGAGGACAAAATTCCACCGAAATAATCCACCTGAGCTACAAATCTTCAACATCTCAACAGCTAAACTTATTTTTTTACAAAGCATCATTACATAATTAATGAGCACAATACCGACAACTCCATGAGGACTTTAATTTCTGAGTATTATAAATATATTTTGGAGACTTGGTATTCTTTAAGTAAATGGTCTGATAAACAACCTATGAAGTGTAGAAATACTGAACAGAAGAAACTTGATATTTCACAGGGAGTTTTGGAAAGCATGACACTCGAATGAAAATGTGAACAATAGGCCTGTTATTATACACCTAGTTTATACATAAAGCAAACAAAACAACAAATAACATTACATAAAATGCATTGGTTTGAGTTGCTACACTTCGTGACAAAGAAGAAAAAATCAATAAAAAAGAAACGTATTAAAATAAACTAGAGACCCCATGAGTCGATACGATATTCGTGAGACGGAGCTTTTCTCGTTCAGTCTATAGAATGAACTATCTACCAGCGGGTTATTCTTAAAGAGCAATTTTCAGAAAATCTATCGATTTTATCATCAACTGAAGATCTCCTATATGATGCCTTCTGAGTTACAAATTAACTATCAGCTATCAAAGTAAACGTCTACAGAACAAAAGCACTTTTAATGTGCCATGAAAACTTGGTACTTTTGATAAATCCACTGGTTTAACATGACGAAAACTTCGCATATTATTAAAAAAATCTGACTATTTAAGTGAAGATGAGTTCGACACTGAATAACGATTAAACCTCACACCATTGGAAACATGACTTTGTCTTAATCAACGCAAACTTGATTGATTTGAGATGAATACCAGAGGTTGTTATCTGGCACAAACAACTCCTTCATGCTATCAGAATTTCAAAAAGCTTTTCAGCAGTTCAATACTCCTTATGAAATTCTATAGGTAAAAAACTGAGATTTCGGCAATAAATGATAGAACCTCGGATGGATAAACCACCAAGACGCAATATGGGTGATGAAGACTTTGCACCGATAAGAAACCTTGTCTCGTGAGTCCAAATCAACTTATATGTTGCCAATTCCACTGTAAAAATATATTTCAAATTATTCGAAAGACATACAAGATACTAGGCAGAAAAACAAAAACGAGGTTAGTAGATGTAAAGTACACATAAAAAATCAATCAAAATCTTCAAGGAAATTGTAACGCCATTAAAAATATTACACTTACTTCATTCATCATGGAATTTATATGCAGTATAAATCCAGGTACAGTTAAGATATTTCTTGTAAATGAAATAACAAGCTTCTGAGGGAACTTTTCATATATCAAGGGTCTGAAATATAAAAATGTATTATACGGAAAAGTTCATACAAGTTGGTTAATATAAATCATGAAATAAAACTTGGAAGAAATCCACGTAAATGTTTATGGAAATTGTAAATCAAACTGTTTGTCATGGGCCTGGACAACTGCTTTTCCCTCTATCCTTACTTTAACTGGAATCTTTTATCATCTATAAAGACACTAACCCATATAAATCGGCTAATAACGACATCCCACAAAATAGTATGTCCTAATGAAACAGACGATAAAAAAGCTATTTTCCTAAACAACTTTTTTTGCTACAGCTTGGAGCCTAAACACAGTGATGCAAATACTTTTGTATAGCTGAGAAGTCAGTATCATAAAGCTACAATCGGAAGTATTGGATCCTATCCAAAGTATGTTGTCTGACAACCTTAGATTGGTAACCTACAGTCGATAACAATACTTTCCGTCAAGTTTACTTAACTAAGATACCAAACACTGCCGGAACGAGGAATATGAAAATAATTTGAATATGAAAATGATTTGAAGGCAAAGAACTAACTGATTACTTAATGAAACTCATTTATCAAGCACAGGTTTATACAAATGACCGTGAGTGAAGTTCAAGCGGCCATCGGCGCCGACTGGAGTCCACCTCTCCTCATTATTCTATTCGAGTAGTGGGGTTAGGCAGGGTTGCCCAATCTCACCATTTCTCTTCAACTTTGCCATCGACGACATTCTGGAAACAGCTCTGATGGATGTAAGTAATGGCGGTGTGGGTCTGTTGTCTGAAGAAAGACTTCTCGACCTTGAGTATGCGGATGATGATATTGTCTTACTGTGCGATAATGCCCAAGGCATGCAATCCGCACTTAATCAGTTGGCAATCAGTGTCTGTAGGTATGGTATGTGCTTTGCACCTTCGAAGTGCAAACTACTTCTAAAAGACTGGCAGGATTCTAATCCTCTACTCACTCTGGATGGTGAGCAGATAGAAGTAGTCGAGAAGTTCGTGTATATAGGTAGCTGCATAAGTGCTGGTGGGGGTGTGAATGATGAGATCAATGCACGTATAGTGAAATCCAGAGCGGCTTATGCCAATCTGGGCCACCTTTGGCGCCTTCGGGATGTCAGTCTGGCATTAAAAGTTTAGATCTACAACGCGTCGGTGAGAGCAGTTACGCTCTATGCTTGTGAAATCTGACCTCTTTTAGTTGAGGAGGTTAGACGACTCTCTGTATTCAATCATCGTTGTCTACGAAGGATTGCTGACATCCAGTGGCAACACCATGTTAGTAATGCAGAGGTTCGGCATCGTGTGTTCGGGCACAGAGACGATAATCCAATTGGTGTCGCCATCTTGAAACACCGACTTCGGTGGCTTGGACATGTTCCACGAATGTCATTCCAGAGAATTCCACGTCGTGTATTATTTGCCGACTCTGGGACTGGTTGGAGAAAGCGGAGAGGTGGTCAGTATATGACATGGTGTCGTGGGATGAGAGAAAGCTGCAAAGGACTGGCTTCTGTTGGTCCTTCACGACTCCCTGGTTGGGGTCCGAGAGATGGTACAACACAGTGGTTAGAGACGTTATCAGATATGGCTCAGAATAGAAGCCAGTGGCGATCCTGCTGTAACCTTCTTTTACTTTCTTCATAAAAAGTGGTTGTAACTTCCTCAACTGAAAGATTTCTTCTGATTGTACCTTTCCGTTCCCTCATTTTTACCATTATTATTACACCACCTTACATCAATCTCTTCGTTATTATTCTCTCTTTTTTTTCATTCCCCTTAAATTCTCATTGTTTTGTGTGGCGTATATATATTTGGCGCATTCTTGTACCAATATTTATGTGTTCAAATAAATAAATAAATATCCTTATACACAATCTTTCTTTATATATTGCCACCACTGAATTAACTACTTTGATGAATCCGGTGTTCATCTTGTTATGCTATTGAGGTATGTCAACTTGGACCAATGCACATATGTGCTCGGTCCCATGTTGCAGCTGACTGACTGATTATTATTAAGATCTTATCTTCAGTCAGCTCATACTATTATTACATCTGTGCGACACATGTCTTTGTTGAAATTTCAGGTATTATTTTGTCTTTAAATGATGATCAAATGTCGTTGCCAGATATAAGTTGAAAGCCGCCAATTGATTTGGATCGTCATGTTGAAATGCTTCACTGTCAACAAATATGTACCAGCGTTAAGCAAGAAGCTTTTAACAGACTAGGTACTTTATCAATTTCACACACAATGTACAGATGGGTTGAAGATGGTAATGAAGTTAAGTGCTAAGAGCACTGGAATATATGTTATTATAACTACACTCCAGCAACTTATGAGAGGTTTAAGTACGTAACATTAGAAGAAAATTGTTATGTAAGTGCTATAAATACTACCTAAATGTTTAAATGAATTATATATGAAAGGCTGACTTGTTAATTCTTATACTAAAAATGCTTAACTACAACACCACTGGCACGTAAATTAAAGCAAAACTAACGACCCTATTTCTAGGTACTGAACCAGAGTACTTAGTAATAACATAGCTCTCATGGACAAGCAGAATCAAGCACCAATTCATGTGAAATATATCCCCATCAATTTAACACTAACCTCATAGCAATGGTAAATATACCAGTCAAAGATACTTTTGTTAATGCAGGAGTGTGTCTAGCCAAACCCTTTTGCAAAACAGCCTGGAAAGCGACCGATTAGTTAAAAAGGGAATTTACATTCAAATGTTCAAATAAACTCTTTTGCACAAGATGCTGGAGAAACGTTGTAGCCAATCGGCTCATCGCAGGCTTCAGTTTTTCATCTATAAAATAAGAACTTTGGAAAATTAGCGTTCAAATGAAACAGCTATGGTACAATCACCATAAAATCTCCATTTTGAAATTTAGTATTCATGGATCTATCATTGAAGACAGAAAATAGATAACATGAAAATCCGCAGGTTTGATTGTTAGATGATTAACTTTACTTAACAAGCTTTATGCAACTGACCAGTTTCATTAGTTCTTAAATAAGAGTTATGAATAGGGGCCAAACGAATAAACCTGGACCAAGTTACTATATATTTACTAAACATTCGATAATAACGTCATCTTTACGGTCAATATCACATTTGCACAGAGATGCAGTGGTCGATTCAAATCCCGTAGTGCTAGATGTAGTAAAATTATAAGCTGTAATCAGAAAAATCAGGGTTTGAAGATGTTATTCAAAGAGTATAATCCAGTGAAATAAATTTGGAAAGAGAAAAAAGAAAGGGACATGAAGAATCCAGAAGATTAGAATTTGGCAGAACACAAAGAGTGGATGCACCTGCTCCATTGCAAACGATTTTGAGCCATGTCATTCAGCGTCTCTAACCATCAGTTGCTATCATCTCGTGGTCCCCAACCAGGTAGTCTACACCCACCAATATGACTCAGTCTACTTGTTAGTGACTTCATGGACTTGTGCCATGTTTTGGTCTGACCGCCCCTAGCTTTCTTCCAATCTACTCATATACAACAAAACATCGCACATCGAGGCAGTCGGTCGTTGGGCACACGTAACACATGTCCCAGCCATTTCAACTGATGAAGTTTCACTACGTCATCAATTGATTTGCCATCCTCACCTAGTACCCGTTTCCTAACAACTGCATTACTTACTCGATGGTCCCAGGATATACGAGCAATATTTCGAAGACACCTATGATCAAATACTAGTAACCTACGAATATCCCCTACTCTTAACAGCCATGTTTCACTGCCATAAAGTAGGACGGAACGAACTGATGCGCAGTAAACACGTCCTTTGGTTGATAGACGGATATCTCGCCTACGCCATAAATGACGCGAGTTGATAAAAGCTAGTTGAGCCTTCTGTATCCGTGCTGAGATTTCGTCACACACCAGACCACAAGGGCTGATAAGGTTTCCAAGATAAGTGAAGCGATCGACACGCTCAATTACTTCACTCCCTATCATTAGTTCGGGTGTCGATGCAACCCAATCCTGAAGCAACATTTTACATTTCGAAGGAGAGAATCGCATCTCGAACATGCTTGCATTGTTGCTTAGAGTGACCAGAAGACCGCATTTTGTCAGCGTCTTCACCAAATAAAACTATCATCAGCATATTCTAAGTCAACAAGTGAACCTCCCGGTAGAAGTTCAACCCCTGGAAATTTAGATGAGGAAAGTGTTATCTCTAAAAGTACGTCGACGACAAAGTTGAACAAGAATGGAGAGAGTGGGCAGCCCTGACGAACACCACTTGAGGTAATCAATTCTGATGACAGTTCGCCATAAGCTCTCACTCGACAAGTTGTGTTCAAGTAGAGAGCCTTTACAAGGTTAATGTGCTTCTTTGCTACTCCTTTCAGTGACAAACACTGCCATAGAACCTCACTATCAACAGAGTTGAATGCCACCTTAAGGTCGAGAAATACTACCGTTGTGGGGCGTCTGAATGTGTGTCTGTGTTCTAGAACCTGACGTAGTGTGAATATGTGGTCTATATAACCACGTCCAGGCCGAAAACCAGCCTGATTTTCTCTAGTCTGCTCTTCACGAGCTTTAGTTAGGCGTCGAAGTATTATTGAAGCTAATATTTTAGATACTATATTTGTCAAACTGATCCCTCTGTGATTGTCACAAGAGGACTTTTGTCCTTTCTTATAGACTGGCACAATCAGTGATTGAGACCAGTCAGATGGGATTACGTCCAGTTCCCAAATTCTACCTAAGACCTCAGTTAATCTCACTGCTAATAGTGGACCATCATCCTTAAAAATCTCAGGAGTAAACCTGTCAGGGCCTGGTGCTCTCCCTCGCTTCAGATTTCCTATGGCTTTTTCAACTTCGTAAAGAGACGGAGGACTTACATTAACTTGCCATTCAGGTTGACTGGAGATCGTGAGAAACCGAAGTGTGACTGATGACCAGTTGAACTGATCCCTAAAGTGTTCTGCCCATCGATCCAATCTCCTGGATTGAGAATGTATAATATGTTCACCTTTCTCTGAGAGTTTCGCTAACACTTGGTTTCCTAATACCGGTTTCCTTAACAGATATGAATGACAGATTGAAACTAACTTGATCCTACGAAAAATTACGTCAATGAATAGGCAAATTATTTAGTAGACAATGCATTTCGTCAGCCAAGTACACGTTCTTGCGTTTAGTATACTTTTATTCACCTACGATAGCATTGCACTACCTTGATTGAAATAGGTGACGCATGTCTGGAACACGAATGAAGAGCTACTTTACTTGTCAGACTACTACACAATCCATATTAACTTGATTGTTACTTAATGTAACTCAAATACCAAGTAGAGGTTTATGTACTAACCTTTGAACCATACTGGGTGAGGGGTATTGATACTAGCTCAAGATGCATGGTTCCAACCTGACACCTGTTGGCTGAAAACCTAAAGCTTTAACCACCAGACCACCATTTTGACTTTCAACTCATGCATCACTACTTGTTTTACAAAAACGAAAGGTTACGTTTAAACTTCAAACCGTGTTAAGTGAGGACTGCTTGAAGTTGAGTTATGGTTTCGTCAATTACTTTCACGTTGTGCAAATATATTTTTTTGGATTAACCAACAATTTTGGAACTTCATAACAGCTCTTGTACCAAGAGTAATGCTTATATTGAGCACGCAGGACTCTAGGTAGTATTAAACAAACCACTTATCCTATGAGGTTATAAGCACAGATTCAAAGGTAACAGAAAATTATGAAGATGAAAACCAATAAAAGTTTCTAGAATTGTTGACTAAATAAGTGTAATTAATCCTGCGTTCATCAAACCCTTATCGACTGCTGCAGTCAATTTCAGTTCGAGTGAACTGTACTAGATTATAAGGCACCAATAATTCATATCACTAAGTTCTGTGTGAAACGATGGGTTTTCAATTACAGTTCTTAATTACTGTAATGAAACATTATTTGGTTACTCAAATATATTACGCTATGTTAACAAACGTACGTTTCGAACGTTTTGTTAGATCACGACCCATCAGAATCCAGTTGACACAAAAGAAATGTCGGGTCACTTTTCAGACCCGTATATAGTTCAAAAACTCAACTCGATGTTTGTTACAAATCTAAACATCTAACTCTTCGAGATGTTCAGCTATATACGACAAAACTTAAGAATTACTCGACAGAATCCATAAACAGGCAGTACTGTTATCCCTACGTTATGACAAAATATCTTTTTCCTAATAAGGACAAAACAAAGAGTATATAAATGCAATAGAAACTCAATAACCAATATTTTGAGTTTCGAGTGTCGCATATCGTCTTATAGTTTGCTTAACATTAACTCACTTAAGGAAAAACTGAGCTTAAAAAATGAATGTTAAGAATCAAAACAAATTAAATACAGTAAACTTGTTCATCTAGTTCAATAACTTGACTCAAATATACAAAAACCAAATAGCAATAACACTAATACATTATGGAGTAAACTCACCTTGTATCAGCGACCACTGGCAACAGTTGGTATGTATTAGTAAGAATGACAGAAATATGTTCAAAACCTTGGAATCACTAGGAATGGATGGCTAAACATATATGGTACCGATAATAACTTACATCTAAAGAACCCATATGTTCGACAACCGTAGAGAACAACCATTTCGTTGTAATTATCCAATCGACCAGTGTGGGTTTCCTTAACGCCAGAGATACATAAGAAACCTGAATATTATGAGTGATTCAAAGTAAAATACTTTAAAGTCTCCGGTATCCACAGAGTTCACTATATATCGAATAAGAACTAGAAAACGCTAGAGAGAGTAAACACCCTAAACCTTGATAAGAGCAACTTACTTCATAATCCAGTTTCGAGTTATAATGGAACTTCAGATACTTTACATACCTCAAAAGTTCAGTGGCTTAAAGCAAAAATACAAGGGCAAATATCTAACAAACCAGGAATCAACTGAGTCAATTTGACACTATTTCCTTCAAGTATCTTGAAGTCAAACTCCGATCTGAGTATAACAAGTTTACCTAAAAACGGACAAACCGAAAGCCTCGAATGACATTTCTCCTAACTACGAAACTTCTCCAGTTTTTCTACAACTATCCTAAAACATTGTTTAAACTCACTTGAATGATTACAGCAGATAGCGCTCTAGCTTTAGCATCGCGCCGCTCATTTCTTTGCTTCCTACTTTGTTCGATAAAATCAGTTACTTCAGGCTTAACCTCCTTAAACATAAGTCAGTCGGAACGTCCTTCACAGACATTTAGCGCCGTTGCGCACATATTCGATAGTGTGACCATGTACAAAGTACAAACCTCTCTCGACAAAATTAGCGATTCATTTGTCTTCTGGGGTTTGTATCTACATGAAAAGAGAATAAATGATTAGGAGGCATTAATATTATTGCTCCTAGCAAAACGTTCAGCAGTTTGGTGATTATGAACACGGGAAAGTTTAAAAGAATTTTATTGAGGTATTCTATCCAGCGTGGATGCCTTTTTAAGTGTAGACCATTGCTAAAATGCATGAGATGTTAGCCATATGGGAGGTATCAATGAGTGATATGATGCGCTATGATCATATCTACCCTATTCTTTCTGAACCGTACCAGCTGCAAGTTCAGAGCTCCTATATGATTTGATTATGGTTTACTTTCTAGTCCAAACTTCACTATCATATCCCTTTTTAACACTTTTCGAGGAGCAAACAAATTTTAAGGTGCTGGCACAATCAAAATGTCGGCTAACTTATCCTTGGATTACAAAAGCAAGCTGCCAGATGCAATTTTTGTGATCAACTTTATGTGCAGCTGCATGATCGATTGACTGCAGAGATTAACATATCTAGTCTGGAAAGATATCCCATGCAAATGCCGAAATGTCTCTTTCAAGATACTAGAACCGTGTGTATTATTTATGAAGCAGTGCATAAAATTGACTTCCAGGACACCAAGGACTACACACCACTTTTTAGTTACCACAGTTCATACAGACAAGAATTGCAAAGCAGGTAACGAAGGTGACACACAAGTTTCGTAAGTGTTTGCCCTATAGCAAATTTCATGCACTTAATTTATGTGTCTCTCATAATGCTAAATGCTCCAGCTGTGGTAACACTGGACACATTCATTCAGTTTGCAAAACTATTGTGCTAATAAACTTTGCCATTCAGATCCTAATAATTCGGTCGATTCTAATGATCATATATTATACTTATTGACAACTTCCAGTAGTTCCCTTCACAATCAAAAACGACCCTAAATGCCTGGTGGTACTTTTCATGTTTTTATTGTTGACACTGACAATGTTAAGTCCGTCGTTTCGGTTGTAAAGTCAAAGTCACAGAATTCTGATACTGTAATCACGCCTACCCAAGTTGTCACTTCGAGTATTACTGGTCATAAACCTTCTATTCTTCAACGTAGTAATTTGTCGATCAGCGATGATAAATGTTCAATTGTAAATTGTGAATTTCTCATCATTGAGCTTGGATCGACTACGCTAGGAGTGGTTCAGGGTCAGCTTCCCCTTTGTGATAACTGGAAATGTTTCTTATGATGTGCTTGATGACTTGCTAACTAATAAATCGAAATTCGGAAATTTATACTCGACTCCAAAGCCCCTTGGTTTTCATGTGCAAGTAAGAAATCTCCAAACCCTGAAAACAAGTGTCAGTTTTACTACTGCTGCAAGGTTAAAAGACCCGGAGGAGAGAATGGGAAAAGTTCCTCAGTGCATAATTGCCACGCCGTACGCAAGATAAACAATGATGAAGTTGATTAAACAACAAATCTTTTCAAAAGAACTCCTTTTTTCACAGTCTATGGAAGTTCTGCTTAGGCAGGTTAACAAATCTGTAGTTCATATGCAAATCACTCACAACAGTCTAATGCAGCACAAAGAACCAGGTATGTCTATTCGAATTTTCGCTGTTAATTCTAATACTAATGATCATATTCTAGATCATACACAGTCTGTATCCAACACATAGACTATAGGACATTCAATGAACCTTAGAAGAAGACGTACAGTCGATTACAGACATTTAGATTTAAATTTAAGCCGTGGCAGTTATGATATTCGTATGAACTAATCATTGTTTTGTACTCGATTCCTGATTGATTTTGTGTTCTAAATACGATACATACTTTTACGCCCTCCTAGTTCTAAATTGCACTGCTTCGAGAATTCCTAGTCAATACAATAATTCGAATACTTATATTTATCATAAAAAGACACCTGAAATATCACATAGATTGAAGCTGAAGTTCTGTACGCGACGAGTACAGTGGAGTTCCTTATAAGTATAAAAACAGAACAGAAATTTGCGGTCTGACAAAGCTCCTCTATAGCAACTTTATAGTCGAATGACACCAATCCTGTCAAATCAGAACTCGAGAATCAAGGGGCTCAGCTGGCTATTTGTTGCGAGAGATGGTTCACAAGACGCACCCAATCATGATCTAGTGCAGATTTGCGGTAGGCTTCGAGTCGCGGTTGACTATGATCACCACCACAGGAAGACTACGTGCCAGTTACCAGGTTAGACCGCTCCGTAGGTAAATATCAAGAGGCAGTTGCAGGTCGCTGTAAGATGAATTTGTTAGCAATCTCATGGTATCGAAATAATACCGAGATCGTACCAAAATCCGCAGGTGAGACTACTGAGAATACGAGAGTTCGTGCAAGGACACAAAAAACGGAAGTGTTTTTTGGTACACTTAAACAAACAGGTACAGTAAAACAATCACCGGTACAGCTGGTTATAATAAAAATTATTTCCGTTATACCAATCGCGTTCTCTTCATAAAAGTAGGTCTCTACATATTCATTGCCAAGCGCCCTCAGCTAGGGTTTGTACAGTAAAATTACTGTCGAAAACATACAGGACAAATGCGTTCAATGATTTATTTGCCACTGCAAGCATTCTAGATTTATTGGTACTGACAGCGACTGTTTCTGACGGGCATATGAAAGCTTTTAGGAAATGCATTGTAGTTAGAATTATTCGAAATGTGATGACTAAGAATTCCAGAAATAGTGCAGGTTAAATTATGTGGAAAAGTTGAGCAACACCGGACGTATTAAATTCGAGATTTGTAATAGGCGTGCAGTTGAGTACGAAGGAATCATCAGTTTTTACAAATACCACAAAATGTCATGCAGGTCAAGTATTGCTCTTCGAACTTTACAACCATTCGTGTATAGAATTGTCGAGAAGTTTAAAATATTAGATTAACATCAAAAGGAAGGATAGCCTGGGGAGTTTGCCCGTTACAACGATCAGTAGATATATACATAGCCAGCTCCGAATGCTGTTATAAATCTCATTATGTGAATATGCAAATTTTACTTGAAGATACTTGACAGAAAATCGGCCGACAACAGATCTAGTATTGTGTTGGTTTCGTTGTTCGGCAGTGGAACTCGAAAATTGGAAATTAGGCAGGCAGTGGGCGGGTTAAAAGATATTACAAGATAGTCCATAGTTTAAAACATAGTTTGACGTTAAGTGAAGAAACGAGATGAAGAATTAGGTCTAGATAACCATTTATTCCTTGCTCACGTTGATAATCAATGTACATTTACGTCATTTAAATGCCATATTTGCCATAGCACGATGTTTTAACAAGTTTATTTCTCTGAAGCCTGTAAATTCTATTAACGCTTGTCAATGAACCATCGTAGCTAATGATTAATATAGGTGATCAGTTATTAGTATCGATTGAGCTAGCAAGTTATGAGTAATAATCAACATAATAAGACGACAATACACGTTAGCATTTCCCAGAGGACTAATAGAATAAGGGATTAACATAAGTAGAAATCGATTAAGAAAATTAAGTCAAAAAATGAGGATTATTAATATTCTGCGTTTCTTCAGTGGAGCTTACCAATGTACAATAGTGTACTACTTTGTTATTAGTATGTAGTGGCATTGAATCCCAGCCCCACAATCCTCAAAGCTGAACACGAGACAACTGAGAAAATAGATATCCAACATTTAACGCGGCGAAAAACACAACGATAGAGAAGGCAGGAAGAAAAAATTAAATTAATTCAAATTCATCGAATAGCACAGCTCGGCCTTACAGGCGTGATCATTCTTGTGCAACTTTTATTCATATTCGATATGTTGTTCTGTCTATAGCCTAAACGTGTTCTCCATCACATTTTGGTGACTGCTGCGATACTATGAATCAGTGTAGACAATGATGTGACTTCCATGTAAGATCTTATAGATTAGGCAGTGGCATCATGATAACTCCACAATTTTAGGATTAGGCCTATTATAAGTATAATGCTAGCAACGAAGTAGACCATAATTTTACAAGTACTGTTCTAATAACAGACCTAATCCTAAAATTGTAGATTTGTAATGATATGACTACTTATTCTACAAATCAGATTACTGTCTACACAGACTCGTCCTATCTTAGTCACCGAAATATGATGGAGAACACATTTAGTTTGTAGACTACTTACTTACGCCTGTTACTCTCAATAAAACATGGGCCGCCGACCAGTATTCTCCAACCCACTCTGTCCTGAACCTTCCTTTCTAGTTCGATCCAATCTTTGTTCATTCTTCTCATGTCTATCTCCATTTCTCTGCGCAATGTGTTCTTCAGTCTTCCTCTCCCTCTTTGGCCTTCAGGATTCCATATGAGGGCCTGCCTTGTGACGCAGTTTGGTGCTTTACTCCATGTGTGTCCTATCCACTTCCAGCGCTTCTTCCTGGTTTATTTCTCCACTAAGATCTGGTTTTTTCTCTCCCACAGTAGGTTGTTACGGATAGTGTCTGGTCAACGGACCCCGAGTATTTTGCGTAGATGGCTGTAAATAAACACCTGTATCTTCTGGATGATGGCTTTTGTAGTTTTCCAGATTTCTGCCCCATACAGTAGAACTGTCTTGATATTTGCATTGGAAATCCTGACCTTGGTGTTGGTTGACAGTTGTTTTGAGTTCCAGACGTTCTTCAGTTTTAAATGTACTGCTCTTGCTTTACCGATCCGAGCTTTCACATCTGCATCAAATCCACCATTTCCACCAATGATGCTGCCCAAATAGGTAAAGGCTTTTACATCTTCCGAATCTTCTCCGTCAATTTTGATTGGATTGGTGCATGCTGTGTTGTATCGCAGAATCTTGCTTTTCTCTGTGCGTATGTTGAGACCTACTGGTCGTCTTCTCCTGCATTTGTTGTTACGTGTGTGACAAAAGAGTCAGATCATCTGCGAAGTCTAGATCGTCCAGCTGAATCTTGTCTGTCTACTGTATCCCATCCTTAC